TGGCTGTGGCGTAGATCTCAGCCTCACAACTGGAGCTGAGAACAGACGAAGAGCGTGTGGAACGCCAAGAAACTGAGCCAGAGCCAAGGCTGAAGGTGTAACCCTGAGACGACCGCTGAGTAGCCTGGTCGTCCGCCCAAGAAGCGTCTGAGTGTCCAGTGAGCACAACTCGGTCTCGCCCTCCAAGCACTAGCCCCATGCCCGACGTACTGCACAAGTAGCGCAACACCCTCTTAGCTGCATCCATGTGCTCCTTCCGGTGACGGCCGGGAGCGACATAGCGTGCAAGAATGCTAAGAGGGTATGCAAGGTCAGGTCGGGTGCAGGTCATCAGGTACATGAGGCAGCCCACAAGCTCTGGATACGGGCCACTCGGCTCTACGGACTCATCCGAAGGCAAAGCTGAGAGCGAGTGACCAGTAGGCAGAGGAGTGGACTGAGGCGAGGAGTACGTGAAGCCGAAGCGCTAAAGGACCTGCTGCACCATGTGTGACTGAGTCAAAGTGATGGTGCGCCGTGCTCTGTCCCGGGTGATCCGCAAGCCAATATATCTTGTCAGTTCACCCAGGTCTGTGCACGTGTGTCTCTTCTGCAGCTCCGACTTCACGTAGGCGAGTCCTGCAGTGTCAGCAGTGGCAAAGACCAAGTCGTCGACGTACACGAGGATGTAGAACGGCGGCAGCGAAGTGTCGGTGCGCAGAAACAGCGACGGGTCAGCAGTAGAAGGCGCGAACCCAAGAGCCGCAAGTGTAGTCCTCAGTGTGTCGTGCCACTCACGTGGAGCCTGGCGGAGACCGTAGACCGGCCTAGGTACCAGGAGGAAACGACCCAGTGAAGCCAGGGGGGCGGCGCAGCCAGATCTCCTCGTGCAGGCTGCCCTGCAAGAAAGCAGTGCTGAAGTCAAGTGAGTGAAGCTCGTAGTCGCGGTGAGCGGCTATGTGCAGCAGCACCCGAAGAGTAGTCATCTTCGGGGTGGGGGAGAAGGTCTGAAAGAAGTCTACTCCCTCTCGCTGACTGAAGCCTCGAGCCACGTAACGCGCCTTGAAGACATGCGGAGAACCCGGCGGCCGCTTCACCCTGAAAATCCACATGCCACTGACGATGTTCGCCCCAGGTGGGGGAACCTCGTCTACGTAGGTGCGTGTGGACTTCCAGGAAGCCATCTCTGCGTCCATGGCTGTCTGCCACTGAGAGGAGTAGGGACCCGCCATCGCCTCAGCGTAAGTGCGCGGGGTCGGGATGTCTGGTGCATCCGGGTCTCCCTCAGGGGCAACTAGCATGGACACGAGATGAGGCAAAGCAGCAGCAAAGCACTGGAACTCCTCCTGTCTGTCCTCAAGGACGTCCGTGCCAAGAGCACACTCACCCCCGACGGACGGAGGACAGGCAGACTCGGACTCAGACTCAGCAACAAGGCTAGCAGCGTAGTCTAGGCGACAGCGAGCAGCAAAGTCAACCAACTCAGCGACCAGAGCAGACGCAGCGGCGGACTCAAAAGTAGGGTCAGTGACAACTGTGGCGAGAAGACGCGTGACAGTGGGACTGGCAGCACGACGGGAGTCAGACTCCGGGTCAGGAAGAGTAGGTAGAGAGGACGCAGGAGGAGACGGCAGAGGGACACGCTGAGGAGCAGTGGAGGGACGCAGAGTCATGTAGTGAGTGCCAGGGACAGGAGGAGGACGCTCACGTGGGACACGACGACCAGTGCGAGCAGTACGAGCAGGCGACGCAGGACGAGACGCAGGCTCACGACGCTCTGAAAGGCCTCCGGTGGGACCAGTGTAAGGAGAGGGACGAGGAAGAGGCGAGGCAGGCGGTAACTGTGACTGCGACTGGACAGGCGGAGGACACTCTACGGAGGGAGGAGGACAAGGAGGAGGAGCCTGACCAAGAACCTGCTGAAGGAGCGGAACGAAGTACGGTCGCGGCCGCGCAGCGTCTCCAGAACCAGCAGAGACACCAGCGGCAGGGTCCTCAGTACCAGCAGCAGCTCCAACTCCCGGGTCCTCAGCTCCAGCAGTAGCTCCAACGCCCGGGTCCTCAGCACCAGCAGCAGCGCCACCGCTCGGCTCCGCAGCACCAGCAGCAGCTCCACCGTCCGGGTCCTCAGCTCCAGCAGTAGCTCCAACGCCCGGGTCCTCAGCACCAGCAGCAGCCCCAACGCCCGGGTCCTCAGCACCAGCAGCAGCGCCACCGCTCGGGTCCTCAGCACCAGCAGCAGCGCCACCGCTCGGGTCCTCAGCACCAGCAGCAGCTCCACCACTCGAGTCCTCAGCACCAGCAGCAGCGCCACCGCTCGGGTCCTCAGCACCAGCAGCAGTGCCACCCCCAGGGTCCGCAGCACCCGGAGCACCACTCCGAAGACTGCAGCGTCGCGTGTACCACTCTCGGATCTGCTGAATGGGGGGGAGCTCCTGGGTAGGAGGGGAAGTACCGGGACGAGCTCCAGCAGCACCTCTCCGGAGGCGGCAGTACTCGAGGTACCTCTCCTGCAGCTGCTGGGAGGAGAGGGCTCCTCCAGGTGTAGCACGCTCAGTCTCAGTACCCCCAGACTCCGCACCCCCAGGCTCAGCACCTCCAGGCTCCACACCTCCAGGGTCCGCACCTCCAGGCTCAACACCCCCAGGCTCCGCACCTCCAGGCTCAACACCCCCAGGCTCAGCACCCCCAGACTCAGCACCCCCAGGCTCAGCACCCCTAGACGCAGGACGAGAGTCAACAGCTACCTCGACAGGCTCACCCGGGTCTACCTGGGACACACCTGAGGGAGCGGCACCCTGAGGGGGGAGGGGGTCTGGTACCTCAGCACCTGGAGCGAGGAAGAGAGGCGGGGGGGGGAGCGGGGCAGTGCGGTAGGGGAAGAGGCGGTAGTAGGGGACGGACTCGTCAAAAGTGACGTCCTGAGAGGCCAGGACACGCCGCGAGGTGGGGTGGTAGAACTGCCAACCAGGGGCGTCCGGGAAAAAACCAAGGAAGACGCAGGGGACAGCGCGACGGGAGAGCTTGTCCGCGGACGTGTCGCGGACAAAAGCTCGGGATCCCCAGACCCGAAAACGCGACGCATCGCCAGCCTCTCCCGTCCAACGCAGTGTCGGAGAAGTCTCGGGCAAGGAGACACGGGGCCAGAGGTTGAGCTGATGCGCAGCGTATCGGACTGCAAACGGCCACAGAAAGTGGGGGGCAGCCGCATGAACCAAGGAGGTACGAGCGACCTCCATGACCAAGCCAATGCGGCGCTCAGCAACCCCATTCTGCTGTGGAGAGGCCGGAAGCGTGAACGACTGCTCAATGCCCTCCTGCTGACAGAAGGCCTCCAAGAGGCCAGAGGAAAACTCTCCACCTCTGTCAGAGTGCAGACGCAGGACAGGGAAGTCGGAGCGGAAACGCTCACTAAGCTGGAGACGAGATCTGCGGATCCAAGGGATCAAGACATCAGGGACGTCACCCTTGGTGCGCAAGGGGAAGACCGTGGTGTAGCGCGAGAAGTCGTCAACAACAATCAGGAAGTACCTCTCCTGACCCTGACCACGGACGCGGGCTGGGCCCCACACGTCCATGTGGAGTGTCTGCAAAGGAGCAGTCGTCGGGGGAAAGGAGGAGGAGTGAGGAGCGGCGCGCTGCCGCCCCTCGACACAGGGAAGACAGGGAGGAGCAGGTGAGTCGGGAAGGGGAGGGAGCACCCTGGGAAGACCAGCAACAAGGTCCCGTTTGTGCATGGCCCGAAGGCGCTGCACAGACGGGTGACCAAGGCGGTGGTGCCAAAGGACAGTCTCATGCGCCAGAGAGCGACACGAGCAGGGAGCATGCGCCAGTCTCTGCGGACCTGACGCAGACGCAGACGCAGCTACCTGAGGGGACTCAGTGGTCAGTGTGTACAGGTCCGACCCCGGCTCTCGAGTGAAAGTAGCCAGGTGGCGACCCGTCCGAGCACACGTGCAGTGTGTCACGCGCTCGTAGGCAGGGGTGAACTGGTGAACACCCGAGTCCTGGAGCGCACAACCCGCCACCAAGTTCGTAGAGAACGAGGGGAGGTAGAGACCTGACAGTGTGCCGGACGGGACCGCAGGACAAGGAAGGACAGTGGAGGAGGTCGCAATGACCGGACCCCCAGAGGGGTCAGCAAGGGAGACAGCAACTGGCCGAGCGAGTGGCTCAAGGACAGTGCGGTCACGAAAGAAGGAGCGAGAAGCACCTGAGTCCAGGGTGAAGGTGTGCAGTGCTGCAGTCGACTCAGTACCAGGGGGCACAGACGCACTAGCACCTAGGGCAGCAGCCTCACCATCACCTGGGGTAGCAGACACGCGAGCACCTGGAGCAGCAGACGCACTAGCACCTAGAGCAGTAGGCTCACCAGCACCTGGAGTAGCAGACACGCGAGTACCGGGAGTGGTAGCCTCACCTGCACCGAGGGCAACAGACGTACTGGCACCGAGAGCGGCTGCCTCACTCACAGAGCGACTACCACTACGGCCACCCCGACTGCTCAAACCGGCGTACCACTCACGAGCCTGCTGGAGCAGAAGAGGGCACGGCTGCTGCACCTGTCCACTACCTGAGGCTCCCGAACGACGGACGCCAGAGCGACTACCACTACGGCCACCCCGACTGCTCAAACCGGCGTACCACTCACGAGCCTGCTGGACCAGAAGAGGGCACGGCTGCTGCACCTGTCCACTACCAGGGGCTCCCGAACGACGCACGCCAGAGCGACTACCACGCCGGCCACCCCGACTGCCCAAACCGGCGTACCACTCACGAGCCTGCTGGAGCAGAAGAGGGCACGTCTGCTGCACCGGTCTACTACCAGAGGCTCCCGAACGACGCACTCCAGAGCGACTACCACTACGGCCACCCCGACTGCCCAAGCCGGCGTACCACTCACGAGCCTGCTGGAGCTGCATCTGGCCACGTCAGGAGCAGCAGCAGTAGTGGATGCAACAGCATGAGTAGTAAAGGCAGTAGCAGCAGCAGTAACGGTAGCAGTGCTAGCACGGCAAAGCTCACCAGTGGTTGGTGCGGCGGGCGCAAGACAGTGGCGACAGCGTGGCCGCTGCAACAGCGGGGCGGGGCCAGGTCGTAGCAGGGAGCTCCGCGGCAGCTGCTGCAGGGTCGGCGGCGGCCGCTGCTGTAGGCTCGGCGGCGGCAGCTGCTGCAGGTCGAGCGGCGGCTGCTGCTGCAGGGTCGGCGGCGGCCGCTGCTGTAGGCTCGGCGGCGGCTGCTGCTGCAGGGTCGGTGGCGGCTGCAGCTGCAGGCGCGGCGGCGGCAGCTGCTGCAGGTCGAGCGGCGGCTGCTGCTGCAGGCTCGGCTGCTGCAGCTGCTGCAGGTCGAGCGGCGGCTGCTGCTGCAAGCTCGGCGGCGGCAGCTGCTGCAGGTCGAGCGGCGGCTGCTGCTGCAGGCTCGGCGGCGGCAGCTGCTGCAGGTCGAGCGGCGGCTGCTGCTGCAGGGTCGGCGGCGGCCGCTGCTGTAGGCTCGGCGGCGGCTGCTGCTGCAGGGTCGGCGGCGGCTGCTGCTGCAGGCTCGGCTGCTGCAGCTGCTGCAGGTCGAGCGGCGGCTGCTGCTGCAAGCTCGGCGGCGGCAGCTGCTGCAGGTCGAGCGGCGGCTGCTGCTGCAGGGTCGGCGGCGGCCGCTGCTGTAGGCTCGGCGGCGGCTGCTGCTGCAGGGTCGGCGGCGGCTGCTGCTGCAGGCTCGGCTGCTGCAGCTGCTGCAGGTCGAGCGGCGGCTGCTGCTGCAAGCTCGGCGGCGGCAGCTGCTGCAGGTCGAGCGGCGGCTGCTGCTGCAGGCTCGGCGGCGGCCGCTGCTGTAGGCTCGGCGGCGGCTGCTGCTGCAGGGTCGGCGGCGGCTGCTGCTGCAGGCTCGGCTGCTGCAGCTGCTGCAGGTCGAGCGGCGGCTGCTGCTGCAAGCTCGGCGGCGGCAGCTGCTGCAGGTCGAGCGGCGGCTGCTGCTGCAGGCTCGGCGGCGGCAGCTGCTGCAGGTCGAGCGGCGGCTGCTGCTGCAGGCTCGGCGGCGGCAGCTGCTGCAGGTCGGCGGCGGCTGCTGCTGCAGGCTCGGCGGCGGCAGCTGCTGCAGGTCGGCGGCGGCTGCTGCTGCAGGTTCGGTGGCGGCAGCTGCTGCAGACGAAGTCGAAGCCGCGAAGGGGCGGCTGAGGGATCGCGCGCGGGCGGCTAGCGGGTCACGCGCGCGAAGAATCGGCCGCGCGCGGGCGGCTAGCGAGGCGCGCGCGCGAAAAATCGGCCGCGCACGGGCGGCTAGCGAGTCGCGCGCGTTAAAAAACGAGCCGCGCGCGGGTGGCTAGCGGGCTGCGTGCGCGCGGTAGGTAGAGGCGCACGAGGGCGCTAAGGCGCACGAGGGCGCGCGGTAGGTAGAGGCGCACGAGGGCGCTAAGGCGCACGAGGGCGCGCGGTAGGTAGGGGCGCACGAGGGCGCGAAGGCGCACGAGGGCGCTCGGTAGTGAGAGGCGCACGAGGGCGCACGGTAGGTAGGTAGGTAGCGGTGGGCCCTAGGAGCGGTCCTAGCAAAGGACCTGCTCTGATACCATATCCGAATGAACAGGCAGGAATGAGTGAACTAGCAGCATGCAATAGTACAAGTAGGAAACCCTAATTTGGGTTGTACCTCATATGGGCTACCCCACTACAGCCTAGACAGTATGCAACACATATGTTTGACAGAACGTTCCATGTATCTTTCCAGCTTCGCAGCTCCACCTGTTTCCGGTTGTTGTAGATGCACACCTTCTGATTCACCTAGTCAATCTCGGGGTTGAACCGCTTCAGGAAATCTTGCCTTAAGATGAAATACAAACCCTTGATGTTCGTGATCGGCAACGTCGGCTTCCACCTCAACGCCCCTATCTGCAGCTGCAGTGTTGACTCACCGTGGATGGGAATCTTCATACCGTCCACCATTGTTGCTGTGAACTAGGTCTCCTTTGATGACTCTCCAATTTTCTCCAACGTCCTGCGGTCGCACACTGAGTGGGACGCTTCACTGTCCACCAGTGCCTGGAGGCGTCGCCCGTTGCAGATCACCTCGAGTACTAGTGGCCGTTGCCTCTCCGAGTAGCTATAGATGGTGTTACTTATAGGATCATAGGGTAGTTCAAGTGTATCATCCCTCGGTCCTGCACTCGAAGATGCTGTCTCAATATCAGGTATCACCTGAGTAGGGTTAGAAGAATTTATCCGAGGCTGGTACAGCTCCTATGGGACCTTGAACCTTCTCCTAAGCCATTGCAACTCTGTAGGCTTCACCTGTGGGCGCTACTGGGAGAGATCATTAATTCCTCGGAACGTTCGACCCGTATCAACGCTCCGGAATAGGGTCCTAAAAGTATCAGGTACCGGTTTAATTTCCGGCTCCCCCTTAATAATGGCTTGAAAACCACGAGAACTAATATTCTTACTTGTCGAGGTGTACGGCCGAAATTTCCCGGTCGGTTCAGAGTCTTATTTTGCGGGGTCTCCATTGGTCTTGACGATTTCCCCTGGTGCCGGCTGGTCGTGACGTTTTAAATTCGCGCCATCATATTCTCCTTTTTTCGCCTCTCCAAAGTTGCCATGTTGTTTGTTCTCTGCTTCGGAGGTGCCGCACTGTCCATGTCCCTCAGCTCGTCACACCTTTTCTTCATTTTCCAACAGTCCAAGATACGATGTCCTGTAGCGCCGCAAAATTTGCACGTCTCATTTTTTTGCTAGCCGCTGCTCCACATCGCCCTTGTCGTTTTTCATCGGGTCGGCAGTCGTGGGTGGTGCCAATCGCCCCATGCCACTATTTGGCTTGTTGCGTCGTGTTCCGTAGTAGCTACTGTTTAACTCATCGAACTGTTCAATCAGTGCTGCCCGAAACTGCGTCCAAGTCCATTCGCCTTGGAAAAATTTGTTGCTCATCCACTGTAGATTTGGGCCTCGTAAAAGTGCAGGTGTGAGACGTATGCGCATTGCTTCTTGTGTCGGGGTCGTGCATCCAATGGCTTCGAAATGAAATTCAAGTTCAGCTACGAATCGACAAACATCGCTCCCTTGAACTACATGATCGAACGCGTCTGGTTGTCTCGGATTCACTTTATCGAGATTAACTGTAGCTGCTGCTGCTGCGGCTACCGATTGGTTCGCAAGGAGTTTTTCGAGTCGTAGGAGCGCCGCATGTATTTGTCAGAATCACTAGGCAAGAATGATGAACTAGCAGAAGTTTGGGTACAAATATGAAACCCTAGTTGGGGTTGTACCCCATATTGGCTACCCCACTACAGCCTACAAGCATAATGCAGTTTAACACACCCCCATAGGCAAAGTGGGGGAGAGCAAAGGGTCACAAGACCAGTCCAGCAAAGCAAAGCAAAGCCCAGGGTGGATCACAACGTCACCACACTCCGAGCACAAGTAAAGGCCACAAGGCCAGTTCACATGCAGTGCTAGATATAGTACAAAACAAGCAACACAGTGATCAAAACCTAGCAAGCAAGCAACAAGATATATATAAAGTACAGTACAAAGAATGTCAAGCAGTGAGCAAGTGAGGAAACGTGGACACAAGGCCTAAAGAAGTACAGTGCCGCTGATGATCACTAGGCGGGAGCGCCTTGGTGAAGATATCAGCAGTGTTGGCCTTCGAGTCCACGTACACAAGCCGAAGCTGACCGCGCTGCTGAAGCTCTCGAGCAAGAAAGTAGCGAAGAGCAATGTGCTTCGTCCTGTGCTCCAGTCTGTGCTCCTGACACAAGGCAAGAGCCGCCTTGTTGTCACCGTACAGAACTGGAGGAGAACTAGGCCGCTCTCCCAAGTCAGTCAGCAGGTAGGTGAGCCAGCGTAACTCCTGTGCAGCCATGGCTGTGGCGTAGATCTCAGCCTCACAACTAGAGCCGAGAACAGAGGAAGAGCGGGTGGACCGCCACGAGACAGAACCAGAACCAAGGCTGAAGGTGTAACCCTGTGACGACCGCTGCGTAGCCAGGTCGTCCACCCAAGAGGCGTCCGAGTGACCAGTGAGGACAACTCTGTCGCGTCCTCCAAGCACCAGCCCCATGCCTGATGTACTGCACAGGTAACGCAGCACCCTCTTAGCAGCCTCCCAGTGCTCTCGCCTGTGTCTCCCAGGCGCAACGTAACGAGCAAGGATGCTAAGAGGGTACGCGAGGTCAGGTCGCGTGCAAGTCATCAGGTACATGAGGCAGCCTACAAGCTCTGGGTATGGGCCACTCGGCTCTACGGACTCGTCCGAAGGTGGAGCTGAGAGCGAGTGGCTGGTAGCCAGAGGTGTGGCCTGTGGTGAGGAGAACTGGAAGCCGAAGCGCTGAAGGACCTGCTGCACCATGTGTGACTGAGTCAGGGTGATGGTGCGGCGAGCTCTGTCCCGGGTGATCTGCAAGCCAAGGTAGCTACGCAGTTCACCCAGGTCAGTGCAGGTGTGTCTCTTCTGCAGCTCCGACTTCACACGAGCGAGTGCCTCAGTGTCAACAGTAGCAAAGACCAAGTCGTCGACATACACGAGGATGTAGAACGGCGGCAGCGACGTGTCTGTGCGCAGAAACAGCGACGGGTCAGCAGTAGACGGCGCGAACCCAAGAGCCGCAAGAGTAGTCCTCAGTGTGTCGTGCCACTCACGTGGCGCCTGGCGGAGACCGTAGACTGGCCGGCGGAGACTCCACTGGGTACCAGGGGGAAACGACCCAGTAAAGCCAGGTGGGCGGCGCAGCCAGATCTCCTCGTGCAGGCTGCCCTGCAGGAACGCTGTGCTGAAGTCAAGAGAGTGAAGCTCGTAGTCACGCTGAGCAGCAACGTGCAGCAGAACCCGAAGAGTGGTCATCTTCGGGGTGGGGGAGAAGGTCTGGAAGAAGTCGACCCCCTGACGCTGACTGAAGCCTCTAGCAACGTAACGAGCCTTGAAGACAGGCGGAGAACCTGGCGGCCGCTTCACCCTGGAAATCCACATGCCATCGACGATGTTCGCCCCAGGAGGGGGAACCTCGTCGACGTAGGTGCCTGTGGACTTCCAGGATGCCATCTCTGCGTCCATGGCTGTCTGCCACTGAGAGGAGTAGGGACCCGAGATCGCCTCTGCGTAAGTGCGCGGAGTGGGGATGTCTAGTGCATCCGGGTCTCCCTCAGGGGCAAGCAACCAGGCCACGAGATGAGGTACAGCAGCCGCAAGAGAGTCAAAGTCCTCCTGCCTGTCCTCAAGGACGTCCGTGCCAAGAGCACACTCACCCCCGACGGACGGAGGACAGACAGACGCAGACTCTGACTCAGCGACAAGGCTAGCAGCGTAGTCTAGACGACACGCAGCAGCAAAGTCAACCAACTCAGCGACCAGAGCAGACGCAGCCGAGGACTCAAAGGTGGGGTCAGTGACAACAGTAGCAAGGAGACGCGTGACTGTAGGGTGCTCAGTGCGATACCGGTCAGACTCAGGGTCCGGAACGTCAGGCAAGGAGGACGCAGGAGGAGACGGTAGAGGGACACGCCGAGGAGCAGTAGAGGGACGCAGAGTCATGTAGTGAGTGCCTGGGACAGGAGGAGGACGCTCACGACGGACACGACTACCAGTGCGAGCAGGACGAACAGGCGACGCAGGACGAGACTCAGGCTCACGACGCTCTGTAAGACCTCCTGTGGGACCAGTATAAGGAGAGGGAGCAGGGAGAGGCGAGGCAGGCGGTAACTGTGACTGCGGCTGGACAGGCGGAGGACACTCTACGGAGGGAGGAGGACAAGGAGGAGGAGCCTGCCCAAGAACCTGCTGAAGGAGCGGTACGAAGTACGGTCGCGGCCGCGCAGCGTCTCCAGAAGCAGACGGGACTCCAGCGGCCGGGTCCTCAGCACCAGTAGGAGCTCCAGCGTCCGGGTCCACAGCACCAGCAGCAGCTCCACCGGCCGGGTCCCCAGCTCCAGCAGCAGCTCCACCGTCCGACTCCTCAGCACCAGCAGCAGCTCCACCAGGTGGGTCCGCAGCACCAGCAGCAGCGCCACCCCCAGAGTCGGCAGCTCCAACTCCGCTAGCACCGCCAGCGCCAGAGTCCCCAGCTCCAGCAGCTCCAGTCGCAGTGCTCCCAGAACAGCCAGTCCCGGCAGCTCCAGTACCCCCAGTACGAGCACCCCCAGGACGAGCAGCTCCAGCACCCCCAACTCCAGCCGAGCCACTAGGACGGCGAAAGCGTCGGACGTACCAGTCACGAAGCTGCTGCGGTGTGAGAGACTGCTCAGCACCCCGAACCGGAGCACCCCCAGACGCAGTAACCCGAGGCTCCGTAGGCTCAGTAGCAGCACCCCCAGGCTCAGTACCCGCAGGCTCAGTACCCGCAGGCTCAGCACCCCCAGTCGCAGCACCCCCAGGCTCAGCACCCCCAGGCGGCAAACTCTCAGGCACAGTACCCTCAGCTCCAGCACCCGTAGTCCCAGCACTCCCAGGCCCCGCACCCGCAGGCTCAGCACCCCCAGGCTCAGCACCCCCAGGCTCCGTACTCTCAGGCACCGTACCCTCAGCTCCAGCACCCTCAGTCCCAGCACCTGCCGCCCCAGCACCCCCAGGCCCAGCACCCCCAGGCTCAGCACCCCCAGGCTCAGCACTCCCAGCAGCACCACCCGCAGCAGCACCTGAGTCACCTGTGAACTCGACAGGCTCA